TTAATAACCCCTTACAGCCCCACTGTCGAGGTGGGGGATTTATTTATCTTTCTAATCTGGGTGCCCGCAGGCTTAGCGGTGATTCAAAGCTAGCCCTGCATGCGGATGATAGAAAAGTTTAAAAACCCATTACAAAAGTGCTCCAGATGCACCAAACGCGAAGCTCCTGTAATCAGTATGCAAAGAGAGCAAAAAGCCTCCTGTGGCCTCGTCTCCCCTGCTCCATGGCCATTACCCCTGCCCCAGTCGCCATGGCAACGGGAAAACATCTGGGAGAGCGCCCCGGAGCCGAGCATTAAACTGGGAGGGAGACCAATTACCCGTCCTCAGCGATCAGGCCCTGCCCGCTCCACTCCACCTGGCTTCTGTCTCTTTATTAATAGCCACCTACTCCTTCTGCACCGGGAGGCAGACGCAGGTCTCACACAACCCACGACCCGCACTTGATTCGATTTTCCCTCCCACAGCCCTGCCACTTCCTGTCGGCCTCCACACTCCCTCCGCCTCCTTCACTTCCCCCCTGACACCCACTTAGCCCCACGAAGGCCCCTGCCGGCTAGACTCCCGGGTGCACTTGACGATAGGATTGCAGGGTAGGGGTGGGGATGGGGGACCCAGCAGGACACGGGCTCGCTTATCTGGTTTCCGTGCTGAACAGTGAGCAAGAGAGTGTCTTTCTGGAGCTTGAGCCCAGCCAGGTGTCTTGTAGTTAAAGCCTGTTTAAAAGGATGCTTTACTGCCAGCTGTTTCCCCTGCAGCTCTTTCCCAGAGATGCAGCACATCAGGACACCTAATAAATGTTAAATAATAACAACTGCAAATCTAATGCCTGCAAGTCTAGGGAAAAGGACAAGAGCACATTAAGTCACTACACAGCCTTCCCTTTCCTGGACAAGGAACGGACAGGCCCAAAGAAAAAAGGTAATTTCCAAACAGGTGAAGTGTTCTTTCTACAAATACTGGCCAAGTGCTCCCCAGTTGTCAAATTTAAAGACATTTCTTGGTGTGGAAGAATACAGCAGGCTCTATTAACCTGAGGACAGAAACAACGTGTCTATTCCTAACCTGAGACATCACCCATGCCCTCCCACAAACATTCCTTTGGGAACTTTCCAAGCAAAATGCTGGTCTGACCCAGTATGACACTTTTATTTTTCCTGGAAAAATAAATTAAAAATATATTTAAATCAAATTCCGTTAATTTAAATATATTCTCCTTTTATTGACTTGCATTATAATGCTAAATATGAATGGGGGGACTTCAGTGGGCAGTGGTTGTGAACCTTTTCTCTGTCAGTCTGTCTGAAGAGAGATTCATCAGTTAACCATCTGAATCTATATTAAAGGAGTGGCAAGTAAAAGAAAATATTCCAATAAAGCGCACCTTACCAAAAACTTTGGTGATAAGCAGTTGCTTTGAAATTCTAAGTTTTCCATTTGTGTTTTCTTAAAGTGAGGCATATTTAAAGTAAAAACGATATGCCAATTTGTATTAAGAATAATGTGCAAATTTACTTTTACCTCTGAGAATAAGTGTTCTCTAAAAAAAGTTCTCACATTCTTTCATCAACTCATTCCTGCAATACATTTATTGAGCAGCTAATATATGTGTTGGGCTAGGCATTCTGTTAGATAAAAGGGATAATAATAATTAGCTGACACAATATGCTGGGTACTGTTTTTTCTAAGTGCTTTAAATAGATGAATCCACTTAATTCACGCAACACCTCTATGAGGTAGGTGCTGAGTTTGCCCATCTGACAGATGAGGAAACTGAAGCAGAGGTCATAGAGCTAGGATAAGGCAAAAGCCAACTAGGCAGAGTATTCCAAAGTCTGTCCTCGCCACACTATTCAACAAGATAAATAAGACAAGTTCTTAGTTCTCTCGGACCTTAAAGAGAACATAACCTCGTAAGAAAGAGACCAAAAAAAGGCAAGTCACCAACTTATGCCAGTGTAAAGACTGTGCACAGTAAGTGTGAACAGTCAAGAGGTGGTGATTAATTTTGCCTGGGGTGTGATTACTCAACTCTTCATAAAATCTTTAGAACTGGGCATTGAAGAAGGGGGTGGCAGTTTGCCAAGCAACCAAGAAGGAAATTCCAGACGGAAGACACAGCATCAATCAGGCAATCGAGGCATCAGGAAAGGGAACAGCAAATACTGCCTGGACCGTGTCTGAGGTCAGTTCTCACTTGTGAATGGCTTTTGAATTTTGAGATTCTCCAAATAAAATTCAGTGAAAAGTCCCTTTCTGGATTTAGAGCTTCAGAGCATATGACCATTTGACTAGTCAACCCCGACCTCTCCCTGACCCCATGACTACATTAGGTAAGATCAGCTATAGGCTAGGGTTTGAGCAGGAAATTCTTACTTTCCCTACTTTTAAAA